CAGGTCTCAGCCTCCTGAGAGGATAGCGAGCATTACAGATGTGAGTCACAAACACCCAGCTGAGAATTGATTTACAGTGAACATGCAGAGAGCTTAAGGAGTCAACCATAAAAGGAAGTGAATCAGGAGATTGGGGGGGGGGGAGGGGAAATGAAAATAGTCAGCAAAATGGAAGAGTTAGGAAGATAGAGATCAGAGAGATGAGGTCAGAGATATGTTAGAGATGGAGTTGGAGTGAAGGAGTCAACAAAAGGAAGACACCAAGGATTTGGGAGTGGTAGCAAGGTGGAGGATCTAAAGATTAGGGACCTTATGAATCTGAAACCGAAACAAGGTATCAGATATAGATTAAGAAAATGAAAAACTCAATGCCTATAGTGCTTAGGAAAGAAAGAAATTCATTTTGGGGCAAAGAGCTTGTAGAGAAGGCTAAGATGGAGCAAGGTTATAAGGAGGGGGGAAGTCAAGATGATCGGGGAATATCAATGCATCAGAAAGAGATCTCTCTGATCTAGGCTTCCATTTTCTTGCTGGATCTTGGGCTAAAGAGATAAGTCATTACCAACCTCCATCTATCCTTCCACTTCCCACCTCCCCATATCAGGAAAGGGCTGGAGAAGGGGGAATACCTACCACTGCAACTCTGGTACCCCAAATCTATCTCTCCATCCTTGAATTCAGATGAAGTTCTAGTGTGGGGTAGAAGGTGCTTCTCATCTGTTCTGGAGTTCACCTGGGATCATGATCCAGCAATTACATGCTTATCCCTTCTGAAGAACATGCCCTTTACCTGCTACGACGAATGGAGATGGAGGCCAGATGGGTCATAGGAGTAGGGTCTGGACTGTCTGTGGGTCCCTATGTTTCCAAGATAGCATTGGGGATGGGAACTACAGGAAAGGACAGTGCCAGGATGAGTAGGCTGAACTGAGAATTTGTGGAGAGCTAAGAGAACATCATCCATGGTTAAATCATGAAGTCCTTGGCCAAGAAGCACCATGGAGAGAGGAATCATTGTAAAGAAGCCCTTTGAGACAGTTGTGCCAAATCCACTTGGCCCCATGAGAAGCAGAAGGTACAGAGAAACCATCTCAGCTGTTTAACACTCTTCTTTGGGGCCTAGGCCTTTCCTTCACAGAGGCCAGTGAAGATGGGAGCCTCCTAGGGGGTGGGAGGGGGGAAAAAAGGGGAAGGAGGTATCTGAGGATGCTAGGGCGGGGCTAAGAGCAGGAAGTGAGCTGGGACCCACCATTACCCTCCCTCTACTGCAAGCACCACAACCAGAACAGAAAGGGGACAAAGAGGAAATGACAGATTGGGTGGGGAGGGTTTGGTGGGGGGTATAATTATGCCCTTCTCTGTAAGGAGCTTAATGCCAAAACCAAACTGGGCTGGATAAGCCAAGATATCCAAGTTCAACTTCAAATCAAGAAATGGTTTTGAGTGACAGTTGATGGCAGACACTGGTAAAGCCCAGTGTTGTACCTGGTTCTGCAGGCTTCCAAGCCCACTCCAAGGGAGCTGAGGGAACTACACAGTCCTCATATCCATTCTCCTTTGCAACTTCTACTCCCCTCCACTTCAAACCCAACCTAAAGCCAGCTCTCTCTATCACCAGATGTTCCCCTATTTTAGCAAGCTTCTCTCCTTGCCCTTCACCTTGAATCTCTATCTCCTTAGCAGAGAGACTGAATGCCATCCCCACCCCACAATCTCTGGGCCAGACTGCAGAAGGGGCCAGGTCTTTGGTCCTGAGTGCTCTTCTCCAGCTAGGATGCCTCCTTCATCCCCTAAACTCCATCTTCAGACCTTCTAAGGCCCCTCTGTCTCCTTCATTCATATCCAGGACCATCTACTGTCCCTTCAGCCACTCCTCTCTTGACCTTATTACTTCTGCCCTCTCTCATCCCCAGTCACTAGCCCTTCTTCTAAGTACCTCTCCTAAGTTTCCAAACTCTCCACCCACTCCCCTCATGGCTCACATTCTTTTTCCCTCAGCCACCTATCCCCCCAAAAGTTATAAAAGGTAGCCACTCTATCTTTCTCTGGGATACATTTCCTATCTTGTTGCTCATGGGTACCAGCTTGGGCCACTGCCCCTTCCCCAGAAACACCCAGAAGTTGCTTTTGCCCACCAGACCAGATCAGACTGGAGAAGCATGGTGCCCACCTACCCACCACAGCTCCGAGTTGGCCTCCTTACCATCCTGGCCCGAGTGCTGCAGGTGCTCCTGCAGGTCACACCCAAATACCCGTTCCTTGTTACTGCCCTTCTTCTTGCCTTTCTGCCGAGACTTCATGGCCGGAGCCCCAGAATACTGGCCCAGCTGCCTCTGTCTCCCAAGACCTTTGCCCTATTAGGCCCCCATGGGATCCCAGCCAGATGACTGTGGGGGCTTGGCCTGGCCCCAGTGGGAGGGAAGGGCTCCACACTGGAGGTTGAGGGTGGCCTGGGCAACCAACAGCAAGTCCAGCCTCTGGGGCCCCAGCCACACGGAAGTTGCTGTAAAGAGGAAGCTGTGAGGACCCTGGCATGAAGCTGTGTCTCGTGGCCGGGCCAGGCACTCGCCCTTCTTCTCGCCTCGTTCAACTCCCAGGAGGCAGGAAGCTGTGCAGCTCCTCAAACCCACTTCCTGTTAGAGCATCTTAAAAACCACAGGGCCTGGGGTGGGGGAGGTACTGACATTCACATCCTCATCCATTCTGAGACTTCACCCATTGGTCAAAGGGAGATGATGTCAGGGCTTTGGGGAGGGATAATGGTGCCTGGGGCATGATCAGGTAGCTAAAAACTAAAATTCTTGGGTCCAACAGGGAGATCTGAGGTGCCTGGGAGGAGGGTGGCTCAGGACTAAGCAAAGCAGACCCAGGAGGAAAAATACCTTGCTTCTGCCTAGAATGAGCCACTCACCTCAACCAAGCCACACCGAGCCTCAGTTTCCACACATTTGAAAATGAAGGGCGCAGACTACATGATTTAGTCTTCTGGCTCTAACAGATTGTAGAACTCACCTAACTTGAGTTTCAGTTTCTTTACTAAAAGTAAAAGCATATTGCTGTCTAGTTCACACGTAGCTCCTGATGGAGGGGCAGTACTAGGGCTTAAACTCATGGCCTGGTTTCCTTAGTTTTTTTTCACTCAAAGTTAACACTCTACCACTTGAGCCATAGCTCCACTTCCTGCTTTTGCTAGTTAATTGGAGATATGCGTCTCATGGCTTTTTCTGCCTGAGGTGGCTTTGAACTGTGATCCTTAGATCTCAGCTTCCTGAGTGGTTTGGATTACAGGCATAAGATACTGGCACCCAGCTCAATATATCACTCTTTTTGTGTTTCTCCACTAAAATAAAGGACTTCCATATTATACTTTCTAAACTAAGGCATTGGCTTTCCCAGAAAGGTTCTTAGCAATGTGCTTCTATCCGAGTGCTTTCTGAAATAGATGGAGGCCTTCTGGAGACCAATTCTTTATCCTTGTCTGCCATGCTTGGGAGCACAGGCAGGTTGGGTAGTGAGACAGAACATATAGTACTCCAGGCTAATACATTCAAGGGCAAGACAGGAACCAGACAGAACAGGTTTTATCTGTTTATTTAAAAACAGAATGTTTTATGTACAAATATGCACATATTTACACAAAATGTACATGCTAGGATCTTCAATCTTTGTGTTCTACAAAGTCCTGGGTTAGCTGAGGAACAGAAGCTGGAAGGCTGTCTTTCAGTTCATAAATCCAGCAGATTTCAGGTCATGCAGGATTTAGGCACTAAATATCAGTATTCTGGGCTGAGTAGATTTGGGTAGGCCAAAGGAAAATAAACATCTAACCCCAGCCTCTACCCAAAGAAATGGCCAGAAGAACTGCAAACTAATGACTCAGAAATTTCTGGGAAAAGGAGACATCCTCACCTGTACAACTCCTTCCCTTCACCTGAACTCCTCCTATCCCTTGATCTGTAATCAGTACCCTTTCTCCCCTACGCCACAATTGAACCAGAAGTCCTTCTTACCAACTCCTCCAAGGGACCACAAACAAATATGGATACAACTAAAAAGTAGATGAAGCTAGGGGAAGGGGCCACCAGGGCCAAGTACCTTCCCCTATTCTCCCTTAGGAAATGGTCAAGGGGTTCACACCACTGGTTCCAGACTCTACTAGCTATCAGGCTCCCTCCCAATGGACTCCCTGGATGAAGATGTCTTCGAAGAAGCAACATCTTTCATAACCATAGGAATTAACCCATGGGTTGAAGTCTTGCTTTGCTGAATGCCTATGTAGGCTGGCCTTGCTTAAGCAAACCCAGTAACGAGCAAGCAGTTAAACCAAAAGTTGTTCTGTTTTGTTAAAGATGTGTCTCTCAGTAAGGGAGTCAGAATAGTACTCTGAAAGCTCCCAGGGAGGGTTTATTTACAGAAACTATATACATGCAGCAGGCCCACAGGCCACCAGAGGGCAGAGGGCTTCTTATGTAACAGTCCAAACAGTCCCTAGGTGGCAGCTTTACATGCCCCACAACTCCCAAGTGGTGAGAATCTTGCTCCTCCACCTTGGAGGCCAGATTCCAGCTCCAGCTATGCCCGCACACCTGGATCTGGCCCACAGTATCCACCTCTCATCTCCAATTTCTGCATCACTAATACTGCTCTGGGATCTGAGAAAAATACCTGCACTTACAGGCAGAGGTCACTCACAGCCACACAACATACAAACCAAAGCTTGACAGTGTTCCATACGCCAAATCCTATATCACCACTCACTCAGACTGTAACATGACAGTATGATACACACCATGGACAGCTGCCCCCCACCCACTCATACACACACATTGAACATTACAACACAAATACACGCACGCACACACAGTGACCTGCACACATGATGGGAGTGGGGCACTCCTGATGAACAGAAGGGTTGGAGGAAAAGGTCGAGCAGTCAGTGGAGTGGGAAGCATCTTCCTCAAGAAAGAAGGGCATTTAAGGAGGTCCCCCAAGACGAGCTGAAATCCCATGTCAGCAGCAGGAGCCAGGCCGAGGGAGGGAGGCAGGCCTGGGTCAGACTAGGTGCCCCCGCCCATTGATGTAGATGCCATTGCCTGTGGGCTTGGCTCGAAGAGTCCCATTCTCCTGAACAAAATGGTTCATGGCCTGTTTGATGCCTTCATCCCGATCTTCCTCCTCCTCTCCTCGCCCAGAACTTGGAGACAGCAGTTCAGTCTGTGTTTCAATCTCCCTCACAGTGGTCAGTGTGGAATAGCTGCGACCTTCAGGCTCTTCACTCTGGAGACCAAGGGCAAAGGACAAGTCAGAAACCAAGACAGGGCAGTCAGACACAGACAAAGTGGGGTATGACTGGGTAATGATGGGGTCAGAAGTCAGGCAAAGCAGGGGTTGTGGTTGTTGCAGAGGCATAGGGATTTGGAGATAAGGGGCCAGGAATTAGTGTTAGGTTTGGGGAAGGCAAGCAGAGATGCAGGGATGGGCCACATACGCCAGGGCTGGGGCTCAAGTGACTGGTAGGTAAGGGGGCTGCTGACACACCACATTTGGGGCCAGGAGTGGGGCCTAAGGAAATTGGTGGGGATGCCGGTGGGGCCGGGGGGCCTCACCATCACAGAGCAGCTACTGTTGTCCTTGAGACTATCAGGGTGGCCCTCGGCTCTCAGCCCTACACTCTCCTCCGGCTGCAGGCCCAGGACATGGGGGAGGAGTTAGAACAGAGCTCAGCCTCTTCCCTCAGCCTCTTCATCTCTTATCCTCTACCAGCCTCCTCCGGAATCTCCTTACCCACAACCCCAAATGCCCATTCTCTCCCTAATACAAACGTCCTCGTTCCCCCACCCCAAACCACCCTGACACCAGAGCTGATGGTAGATTACCAGAGCAGCCACTAAGCCAGAGATGAAGGAGGCCTTCAGAGGAATTGTAGCAGACCCAAAGTAGCTACATGCCACCCCCCCCCAACCAAACCCTGGCCCCAGCCCAGCCCCAGCTATGAGTCATGATAGGCAAGATGCCATGGACAACTGTGCCCCTGGTCTGCAGAGAGGCCAGGCACAAGAAAACCCCACACATGCATCCAACCTTGGCACATACCTGGCTCCTAGGATCTGAGTGATGGGAATGCAGCCTCCGGATGGAGTTCTCCCGGGTCAAGGTCAGCTCTTCCTCACTGGGAAAGACACCCCCCCTTGTCAGGAGCTGAGGGTAGTGGTAGCCTCCCATAGTAACCCTAGCCTGGCCAAGCCTATGTGAGGCAGCTGGAGGGTATAGGTGGCTATACTAGCCCTGCAAGTGTAAGTGTGTGACTGCAGGTGGCAGTGTGGCCAAGAAGCATGTACGTGAGTGTGCACAGTAGGTGATACCTAGACATATGACTCACTCAGGCAGTATGGTTCCCCTGACCCAGCTATGGTCTCACAAGCCCCTCTCACTTCCCAATTCTGCCCATTTCTGGTCAATAGGAGCTAGCTCCTCTCTTTTCACTCTGCTCAGTGCTGGCCCACCTCCTATTTGCTTCCTCCTTGTTTCTAGCTCAGTTCTACCTACCCCGGAGCAGCCAGTACTCACTATTTCTGGGTCATCTGCTGGGCCTTGCGCCGATGGTATCGGGACATGAGCACCACTACCACGACCAGAAGGCAGAACAAGAGTGCGGCGATCACACCCACCACTACCACCGAGGCCGACACTAGGTCCACCTGCTTCCCAGGGTCCTGAGGGTCTGCTGGAGACAGGCCACTGTCTGAGGTCCATGTCCAGATCCCCGCTGCACCCCCAATTCCATCCTGTTCCCCACATACTGTCCTCCCAGAACTCACCCACAACCACTCACTTAATGACTCTCTGCAAACCACACCAATCAACACCCCCAAATAAATACCTCCGCAAATCCTTCTGTCTTGCTTTCTGTTGCCTTCCCCCCACCCCTATCCCTGCCCACCCACCCTTGGCCCTGAGCCCAGGGCCAAGACAAGGGTGTCTTTGACTTACCTAGAACATCTACAGTGACCCGAGAATCCCTCGAGGAGAACTCATTGTTGACATGGCAAACGTAGATGCCACTGTGCTCAGTAGTCAATGGGGGAAAGCCCAGAGTATCCCCTTCTACTCGTACCCCACTGGGTAGAGGCCCATCCAGCCTAGAGGATAGGAAAGCTGAAGGGTGCCAGCTGGGGCGGGCTGAGGCTGCCATCATCTAACATGCCTGAGCAGATCTCCACCCCCACCCCCCCCTGCTCCCACATGACGTCACCTGGAGCCGCTGGCTGTTCCCACGGTGCCCCACCCTCCCCTAGGCAGGTCTAGGCAGAGGCCCCTTCTCCCTGCTGCCCAGCCTGACCCGGGCACCCCCACACACATTCGGGGAAGATCCACACGCGTGCCATCCCACATGCTCCCAAAAGGCATAACGTCATCCAGAACTGTGCACCAGGCATACATGCTATAAAGTCCACACAATAGACAGCTCCACTCCAAACTGGGCTCAGAGGCACTTAGAAAATGTGACTACTTGCTTCAACATCTAAGATGCTACATGACAGCATCAGGAACCTAGCCTCAGGTATGAGCCACACACATTGCTCATGAGTCCCCATGTAAGAACATGTCTATCACATACATGTGTATTCTAACTCTCGCTGAGTCTCTGGACATCTCAGACCCTGGAAAAAAGCCAAGGGCTCTTGAGGGAACTGACAGAAGTGAGTGGGTGTTTTTGAGGTGCTGGCAACATTGTGGTTACGGGAGTGTTGGTGTAGCAACACATACAGTCAGCTGTCTTTTTGTCTCATGCACTTTGGGGATTCACACCAATTCATGAAATATTAATCATTTAAAAATTAGGGGAAAAACCAAGAATGTGTTGGCTTATTCTCTATCAGAGACCGTGTAGCTGGGGGCAGGTGGCTCATGCGTGTAATCCTAGCTACTCAGGAGGTTGAGATCTGAGGACCAAGGTTCAAAACCAGCCTTGGCAGGAAAGTCTTTGAGACTCTTATCTCCAATTAGCCAGCAAAAAGCTAGAAGTGCAGGTATGACTCAAGTGCTAGAAAACCAGTCTTGAGCAAAAAAGCTAAGGGAGAGCATGAGGCCCTGAGTTCAAGTCCCGGTATCTGCACAAAAATAATGAATTAATTTAAAACATCCATCCCTAGATTCCCTTGGCCAAGCCAATAATTGGTAGCCATATTTTTTTTCTATTGGTCTGAACAGGGCCCCAACTTATCAAGAGTCCAGAGCATAAAGTCCCAGACCATAATAAGTACATCCTGGCCTTGAGAGGGAAGAGTCCTAATCCTAGGATAGCCCCTCCCACAGACCCTTACCGTGTCCAGTTGTATGAAGGAGGTGGCTGCCCTTCACTCAAGCACTTGAGCATAGCTCCTTCTCTGCCAACATGCCACAGTTTTTGGTCCTCAAGGCCCCTCACAGAGGCCTCAGTTAGAACTGAAATGGGAGGTAGGAGGGGGAAAAAGTGAATGATGACTTCAATCATATGGTTCCTCAAGGGCTTCCCCACAATCCCTGCTGCACCCTGCCAAAACAGCCTCCCTTTGCCCTTTATCATCCTACTCATCTGGTACCAAACCTAGCCTGGCCCCCCTCATGGCTAGCTCCTGGCCACATGGCTCCCTCTTTTCTCTAAGCTGAGTCTATATTGGTTTATTTGTGCCATGAGCCCACAGTAACCTCAGGGTAGTGATGTGTCACACCTTTTCTGGATCTTCTGTGGTGTCTGGCGTAGTACTAGTCATAGAACAGGTGCTCAATAAATGCTGCTGGATTCTTTGAAGGCCTAATAATCTCACTTGTTCATTTGTTTCTTTAGTAAACATTTGTGAGGACCTACTTTGTGCCAAATGCTAGCATAGTTTCAGCTTGAAGTCTAATGCTGGGAATACAAAAGCTCTATGGTTTCCTGAAGCCTATGATTTAAGATCTGTGTGAGATGTTTTGCATTCACGGCTGCTAATTCCCACCAAAATCCTGTAAAGTTGATATAATTATACTCATTTTGCTGATGAAGAAAATGAAGCCTAACAAGATTAAATAACAGCTGGTAAACAGCCGAATGCAGGCTTGTCCCAAGTCTATTGCTAAACCCTAAGCCATGCAATTTTCAAAATGCTTTCAATTCCATGTTGATAGTTGATTCTTCCAACAATGCTGTAAAGCAAGATCTTCTCCTCTGTAAAGACAGAGACCCTGAAGCACAGTGATTTGCCAAAGTCATCTGACATTGACCTCCAGGTCTTCTACCTTTGGGTTACTGTTCTCTTGGACACTATAGCTCCCAGGACCCAGATGGTCAGCCTACCATGGCTCAGGGTTACAGAGTGTCTCAATTCTTTTGGAACCCAGGGAGGCATAGGCCTCCAAGTACTTACAGGCCACTTGAAGGGTATGAGTGATCCTTCGGTTCTGGAGCAGGCCAGGGTGGGACACCACACAGGTAAGTGGCTGTCCGTTCATGCTGCGACTAGGCACCAGGTGGAACTCTGATGTGACGGCAGCTGAGCGGGAGTGCTTGAAGGAGCGGCTGGATGTTGTGCCTTTGACCTCCGTGTCCCAGGTCACATTGGGGGCAGGGCTACCCTCAGCAGTACAGGAGGCTGCCAATGTCAGACCCTGGCCCTCTTCCAGTGGTGGACCAGGATTCAGTGAGGGCAAGGGAGGCACTGTGGATGGGGAAAGTGGGGAGGTCACAGATCTGCACAACCCCAGTCAGAGGGCCCCACTCCAGCACTTTTTCTTCTGTTATTTTCTCAGTAAAGGCACCAGGCAAGAGTTAGAATTTCAGCAGCCAGGCACCTGTTGATCACACCTGTAATGCTAGCTATTTAGGAGGCTGAGAGCTGAGGATGGCAATTTGAAACTAGCCTGAGCAGAAAAGTCCCTAACTATCTCCAATTAACCAGCAAAAAGCCAGATGTGAAGGTATGGCTTAAGTGGCAGAGTGCCAGCCTTGTGTGCAAGAGTACACACACACACAGAGGAAGAATCAGAATTTCATGTGTATTAGGAAAATGGAAGAGAAAGGAAGGAAACAGGTGGGACTGTTTATTGAAGAACAGCAAGAGGAAGCATGGGATCCCGTGGGACCAGAGGTTGTGCAAGGAGTTGAGATTGGAGTTGGGCTTTTGTGGGGTCTGAGCAAGGAGACAGAGGTTACTTGAATTCAGTATAGGGGAAGTGACTGCAGGTGCCGGCCCAGAGTATGGTAAGTATAGCGATAACTGACTCCCTTATCCAAGGTCTCAAGCTTTTTAATGTTCAAACAGATCTACATGTCTGCCTTGATAGTTTGACCTTCTCAGGGTCCAGTTCTCAGCTCTCTGTTCAATCTCTTAACCCTTTCCTGGTCTCACAGCTCCACCTGAGTTCCCTACAGATTAGGCCCACAATGGAATGTTTACAGCCAGGCTTAGGTGGGATTACCCTGCGTGCATCAAGCACATCTGTGCTTACCTTGGGTTTTGCGGGGCATTGGTATACACCTGGAATAATAGGGTAGGGGTCAATCCTTCAAGGTGACTTTTGTCCATTGTTTGAATGTTTTACAGTGGCATGGGTCATTTTTTAAAAAATAAAAATAATGAAGTAATTTAAAAACAAATTAGATTTTATCTACGTAATAATAACAGCCATCATTTAGTAAGCACTTACTATATGTCAACTATTATGTTAAATAGTTTACAAATGTTATCTCATTTAATTTTGTCAACAAACCAGTGAGGTGGGTATTATTATCTCTGTTTTTCAGAGGAGGAAACTAAAGCTCAGGGAGGATAATGATTTGTTCCAGGTCATCAGTTTTAGGGTGACAAAGCCCAGATTCACAATCAGGTTTTTTTGTTTTGTTGTACGCATGTGTGTTGATTTTTGAGACAAGGTTTTGCTATGTAGCCCAGGGTGACCTCAAACTCTTCATCCTCCTACCCGTTTCCTGAGACTACAGGTGAACATCACCACATCCAGCTATTTAACACTCAAGTTTTTTTTTCTACTCCAGTGCTGATGCTTCTATAACTTACATGTGGACAAATGGAGACTATAAAGGTCTTTTATTCTAGCTTTAAAATGGTAAGGATAGCTGGGTGCTGATGGTGCATGCCTTAACTCTAGCTACTCAGGAGGCTGAAATCTGAGGGTCAAAGTTGAAGCTAGCCTGGACAGAAATGTCTGTACGATTTTTGCCTCCAATTAGCCATTCAAAGGTGCTGAATTCAAGCCCCAGTACTCTCTCTCTCTCTCTCTCTCTCTCTCTCTCTCATACACACACAGGCACACAAGGGAAAAGACAACTTAACTAGACCACACATGCCCTTAGTGCAAAGTACTGGCTAAAAAGGCAAGCATGACCTCAAATTACATTCACTGAAGGTCCAACAACAAAGAGGGTATTAGCCTAATTAGTCATGCATGGCCATACCATAGGACAAAGCTTGGTGTTCCCATCTGAGCCCTGCATTTTAAACCATGCATCCCAGGATGGTGAAGGAGGCTTTGAGTTAGTTTTTGGTGGAATTGTGGCAGCGCCAGTAGTAGAGATAGGTGAAGAATGATGTAGATGTTCAGGACTTTAAAGAGCTGGGAAGCAAAAGAGAGACTAAGCTAATGCTTTATTGCTTGAAAGGACAAAATGAAAACAGAGAAGGAGATTTTAGGTCATCTGTACAGAATTTGTATGCATGTGTGCTGCTACTGGGTCTTGAACTCTGGAAACTTGGGATCTGGGAACTGTCCCTTAGCTTTTTTGCTTCAGGATGGTGCTCTACCACTTAAGCCACAGCTCCAGTTCTGGTTTGTTTTGTTTTGGGTTTTTGCTGGTTAATTGTAGTCTCTCAGACAGGCCTGCCCCAGCTGGCTACAATTCTCAGATTTCAGCTCCCTGAATAGGTAGGATTACAGGTGTGAGTTTCCAGCTCTTCTCACCTCCAGCTGCTCCCTCGAAACCCCTGAGCCCAGCTCAGGGTGGGTTTGACACACCCAACGCCCCCCACTACCCCTATCCTACTTACCCAGCACTCGGAGCCGCAGCTGCGCTTGGAAGCTGCCAGAAGGGAAGGTGCTGACTCGGCACTGGTACTCGCCCTCGTCCGCCTGCACGGCGTTGCGCAGGAGCACGGAACCGTCCAGAGGGTCCCGTGGGGGCGGGGGCTGCTCCACGCGGCCCTTGTAGGCTGAGCTTACGTGAAGTCCATATTCAGAGTTCAGTAGTGCCAGCTCTCGAGTGCCCTCGTTCGCGTCCACCCGAGCCCATGCCACCTGCCCGACTCGCTCCTCCGGGTCTCCACGGTAGAAGCAAGGCAACTTTGCATCCTGGCCTAGCACGACGGTCACCAAGTCGGAGGTCTCCAATTCACCTGCGAGAGACTGGCCTGCAGGGGGCAGACAAGAGCAGCCAGGATGAGGGGCTGGGGCCAGACCAGGGGGGTCACTTTCATAATGGTAATGACAGCCAAGGCAGCCGGAACTCAGGGAGCATTTTATGCTTGCAAAGCACATTTTGTTCATTACCTCATTAGATCCACAAAAGATTCCCGAGAGGTAGGCGTTATTATCACTACTTAACAGATGAGGAAACTGAGACCCAGAGAAAGGAAGTGGCTTGCCTAAGGCCACACGGAGGATTTATGGAAGATCACACCCTCTTCCAGCCTAGAAGTGTATCCTGAGCTATTGCAGGTGGGAGGCTATAACAAAACCAGAGACCCAGCCCCTGTCTTCAGGGAGTTCATAGTCCTCAGGGAAATGGATTTTTTTTTTTTTTTTTTTGGTTGTGGGGCTTGAACTCTGGGCCTGAGCGCTGTCCCTCAGCTCTTCAGCTCAAGGCGAGCGCTCTACCACTTGAGCTACAGCGCCACTTCCGGTTTTCTAGTGGGTTATTGGAGATAAGAATTTCATGGACTGTCCTGCCCAGGCTGGCTTTGAACCGCGATTCTCAGATCTCAGCCTCCTGAGTAGCTACGATTACAGACGTGAGCCACCGGCACCTGGCTAGGGAAATGGAATTTAGACACAGAAACCAGGAAAACCATGGACACATTTTTTTTTACAGGATCCTCTACCTATGCAAAAGGATAAAATTGAATGCTTCCAAGAAGTGTGGCTGGAAGCTACCACAAGGTTCCAGAATAGAAGGTGTCCTGGGATAGGGCACATAGAGTGGGAAGGGTCCATCCCAGGAGGCTCTTTAGAACATTCTTTTCATGACTTGGAGATGAGAGACCTAGATTCCCAGAGAGATGGAGGTATTCCATGTGGGAGGAATGGCATGAACCAAGGCTCAGAGGCAGGAATGAGCAAGTCACTGAAGACAGAAAGGACCCAGGGGGTCAGAGGTCCAAAGAGATGAGGTCAGTGTAGACACATAATGAAGGGTCAAAATGTTAAGAGGTGAAGGACTAGTGCTTCTCATGTTGATGAGCAATATGAAGCATTCAAGGATTTTGGAATCAGAACATCATACAACCTCATCTGGATCCACTCCCTTCCCTCATAGACCCTGAGGTCTGTTCAAGAGGAAGATATAGAGACAGATGTGCAAATGGCAACAAAGAGTTTTCTTCCATTTTCTTGTTTTCTTTTTTTGACAAAGGATCCTGGCTGGCCTCAAACTTGCAATCCTTTTGCCTCAGCATCCCAAGAACTGGGATTACAGACGTATGCTACCACATCAGACATATAATGATTGTTTCTGATTTAATGTCCAGATGTATTGCTGCCCAGTTTTGGAATGGGGCAGCCAATGGGGTCCCAAGCCATGTGGGTGGGCCTTATGCTTTTGTTGGGTAGGATTAGGAACTTAGAGAGACCTAGCAAAAACGTTCCAGCCAGGCACCGGTGGCACACACCTTGTAATCCTAGCTACCTTGTAATCCTAGGTTGAGATATGAGGATCTCATTTCAAAGCCAGCCCAGACAGACAAATCAGGGGCTCAATTAACCAGCAAAAAGCCTGAAGGAGAAGTGTGGTTTAAGTGGTAGAGTTGGAAAAACCCAAGGGTAAGACCAAAGCCCTGGGAATGTATGCATGTGTGTGCACATGAACACATGAACACACACACACACACACACACACACACACACACAAAGACATGCCAGGTAAAGGATCAAGGTAAGCAAACAGGAAGTGGAGGTTGGCTAGTTCAGAAAGCAGAGAGTAGAGGACCCAACCTAAGGCAGGGTGTATGTGAGTTAAGCAGAAATGGAAAATATGGCTGGGGTAGGGTGGGGCACCAAATGGCCCAGGGCCTTCCATACCAGGCAAAGGAATTCAGATCTGGTCAAGAGGAAATGAGGAGTCAGAAGGTTCTTTAGCCAACGAATGGAGTGAAGCAAGTGGAAACATGCAGTTTGACCAGAAAGGAGGCAGATCGAGGCCCAGAGAGTCACCAAGAAACTTCAGCTGCAGCCCTGGCATGCTGGTACTGGACAGAGAGGAGGGAATGGTTCCTGGGTGACATTTTGTTGGGATTTTGGTCACTGACTATAGAGAAAGAGAGGAAGCAGGAAGACTCAAGGACAATTAGATTTCCAGGATGGGTCACTTGTGAGGGGAGGCAGAGTCTGAGGAAACTCATGGTTGAAATGAACTCAAATCATGAATACAGGGCCAGGGACTAGGTCAGAGTGAAAGGGTGCTTTGGGGTCACAAGAGCACCTTGCTTTGGAATGTGTACTCCAGCAACTCCCAAAGGGTTGTAGTTAGTCCCTGCCTCTGCCTAGCACCTTACACACCCTGTTATTCCTCACCTTTGCTCACACTGTACCCCTGCCTGGAATGCCTTCCTCCCTATGTCTAGTAGCTCCTACTCATCATTGTCTGGAAAACTCCTACTCATGTCTTAATACTCTATGCAGACATCACTTCCTCCTAGAGTCCTCCCTCCCTGCCCCACCTTAGGCAGTCTTGTGTGCCCCTCTGTTCTCCTCTAATACTCTGCTTTTACCACCCCCCCATCATAGAACTTTAACCCATAGATTGTATTTACTATTTTCTTGTCTGCCTCCCCCACTAGATTGAGCCCCATGAGAGTAAAAACTGGTCACACATTACTGATAGAAATGTGATTTCTTTTTTTTGGGGGGGGGGTCCGGTCATGGGGCCTGTACTCTGGGCCTGGGCACTGTCCCTCAGCTCTTCAGCTCAAGGCTAGCGCTCTACCACTTGAGCCACAGCGCCACTTCCGGCTTTTTACTTTTTGCTTATGTGGTGCTGAGGAATTGAACCCAGGGCCTCAGGCATACAAGGCAAGTGCTCTACCACTGAGCCACCTTCCCAGCCCTAGAAATGTGATTTCTGATTTCTTGCTCAGTGGTGTGTGGGCTCCATTCCTGATGCTCAACGAATGTTTATTTATTGAACGATGAATAAATGAGGGAGATGGCAGAAGAAGGAAAAGATAGAATGAGAAGGAATGAGCAGTCCTTCGTAGAGCTGGAGGAGGGTATTGAGGTGGCAACCTTGGAGTTTAGGAAAGATAGGCTAGCTTTTGGGGTTCACTGACAAAAGGAGCATCTCTTAACTAGACAGGGGAAGAAAGGAGGGATGGGAAGAGGTAGGCACATAGCTTGGAGTGGAGCAGAGGGTTCCACTGAGGCAAAAGATGGGGTCCTGTGGTCCTGCTGCAAAAAGCAGAAAAAGGGAGGATGCTGCTATGATCTGGGAGGGCCCAGACTGGACGGGACAGACCTGCAGAGCTAGATACCATGGCCCTGACCTGCCTAAGCTGATGTTGGTCCCACCCAACCCAGTCTGGGAGTCCAGCTAACCACCTGCACCCTTCCCAGGCACCTCCTTCTGATACTAAAGGGAGCAGGGCTGCCAAAGAAGGGCTTGAGGTAGAGGCTCTCCAGTAAACCATCTGCTTCAAATTCTTATATCCACTGGGCACTGGTGGTTCACATTTGTAATCCTAGCTACTCAAAGCCATCTGTGAGACTTTTTTTTTTGTCAGTTGTGGGGCTTGAACTCTGGGCTTGGGCACTATCCTTGTGCTCTTCAGCTCACGGCAAGCACTCTACCGCTTGAGCCACCGTGCCACCTCCAATTTTCTAGTGGTTTAGTGGAGATAAGAGTCTCATGGACTTTTCCTGCCCAGGCTGGCTTTGAACTGCGATTCTCAGATTTCAGCCTCCTGAGTAACTAAGTAACAGGCATGAGCCACCGATGTCCCGCTCTGTGAGATTCTTTTCTCCAATTAACCACCAAAAAAGCTAGAAGTGGTACTATGGCTCAAGTGGTAGAGCACTAGCCTTGGACAAAAGAGTTCAGGGACAGTTCAAGCCCCAGCACTGGCCAAAAAAAGAAAAAAGAAAAAAGAATTCAGGGACAGCTCCTAAGCCCTGAGTTCAAGCCCCAGGACCACCATCAAAAATAAATAACAGGGGCTGTGAAGGTGGCTCAGTGGTAGAGCGCTTGCCTTGCATGCATGAGGCCCTGGGTTTGATTCCTCAGCACCACTTAAGCAGAAAAAAAAAAGTGGTGCTGTGGCTCAAGTGGTAAAGTGCTAGCCTTGAGCTGAAGAGCTGAGGGACAGCACTCAGGCCCAGAGTTCAGGCCCCACGACCCGGACCCATAAAAAACACACACAAAAAAAACACCAACTAATACTGGCATCCACGTAGGTCACAGGGATCCCAAGCCCTACCCCATGGGGATATTCAAATCCTTCTAAACAGAAGTGGCGCTGTAGCTCAAGTGGTAGAGCACTTGACTTGAGCTGAAGAGCTGAGGGACAGCGCCCAGGCCCAGAATTCAAGCCCCACGACCAACAAAAATAAAATAAGTAGCATCAAATCCTTTTTTGTTTGTTTGTTTGTTTTTGGGTCCAGTGGTGGGGCCTGAACTCTGGGCCTGGGCGCTGTCCCTCAGCTCTTCAGCTCAAGGCTAGCGCTCTACCACTTGAGCCACAGCGCCACTTCCGGCTTTTTTCTTTTTGCTTATGTGGTGCTGAGGAATCGAACCCAGGGCCTCAGGCATGCAAGGCAAGTGCTCTACCACTGAGCCACCTTCCCAGCCCCATCAAATCCTTCTAAAGACTATTTCTTGGAAAAGATCAGGTGAGAAAACTTCCCATCTGCACCCATCCCTATACTTGCCAACAAGTGAACTGTATTCTCCTCTCAAAAAGAAAAAAGGAAAGACACAGCAAGAATTGGGTATTCAGCATAGGTGAGCCCCAATCCTCCATGTCTCTACCTATAAGTCCAGGATCCCCATTTCCAAAGAACAAGCCCAAGCTTTGTATAATGAGAACCCAATAAAACAGGAAAGCTCTCTTGAAATTCTCCCACAGCCCCCTATTGTCCTAAACCCACTGTTCAGAAAGAGTGTCCTTGGTTGAGGCCACACCCTCCTCCAATCGACTGCAGC